AATACATACATATCTTTTCTATATATCCTCATTTTTATACTCTATGCTTGCACTATTCTTTTTATATGTGTATTTTCATACTTGTGTGTGTACTGCTGCTGACAACAATGTGAATTTCTCCACTGCAAGATAAAGAAAGGCTCATCTTATCTTATCTTATCTTGTCTTATCTCATCTTATTAATGATGGAGGCCTGCTGACACTATGAGTTACCACATCAACACTGCTTCTACATACTTTTAGCCCTTTAAATGTTAAATATCCACAAATCTGACAAAACATGCACACAACAGACTAAACCTGTTGCTGCATCTAAAGCCGTCATCCCACATGTTTCAGTATCTTTAGTAACTACTGCATTTACAGTCTCCAACGTACTCCACAAAAACAAGCAGTTTTCCAGATTTTGTCTTGACTTGCTGCTGAAACAGTGACATCCCTGCTCATGTAAACAGTTTCTAGCCCCGCCAAGACATCTTAAAGGTCCTTTAAACCTCCATGTTGGCTGATTATCCTCAACAAACCAGCAAGAATGTCAAGTTTGCTTCATCTTAATATAGGTGGGAGGAAAAAAAAGTGACGAAGACGTCAATCAAGCGCAGTCGTACATCGCTGCACGGCTCCGAGTGGAGGCCTGATCGGTTAAATAAGAGAACCACCGGGGGGTGAAGCACAGGAGTGGAGGGCCTTTAAAGTCAGCATGTCCTAAGCAGGTGTTCGAGATGTTCATAGCGGCAAAGTGACAAAAATAAAGTGTGCGTCAAAAAGTCAGCATCCATTCACCAAAGGATGTCTGATTTTTGATGGACATCCTTCTCCCACGCTGCAGCGCACAACAGAAGTGATGGAGCTGCTCCCAGCTGGAAGGCATTATTAAAAACATTTTCATTACAATGATTGTGGATGGCGGCGAAGCAGCCCTGTGACAAAGTTAAAAAAAAATAAAATAACTGTCTTGATGTGTGTTTGTGAAGTTGAGCTGGCAGCCGGTTTGACAGACGTGTGTTTGCAGCATTTAAATAATTTCCCGTCACTGACAGCAAAATGTTTGTTTACCGACTGAAAAACATACACACCTGAAAAACATACACAGTTATCTTATGTTGTATGAACCGCGGAGGCTGCAGAGCAGAATCAGGACACGGCAGAGCTCGTGTGCTGCAGTTTGATGTCGTTCGGCAAACTCAGTTTTATTCCGTCCGTCCCGCCGGAGTTTTAATCCTGTCTGAACGAAGCTTCTGGGTCAAGCTGCTGTCCAGGAACGTCACACAGATTTGCACAGGTTTGAAAACACAAGCGGCCGCTGCAGTTATTATAAATCACAAGAGGACCGGTGGTGACAATAGTCTGGTGCAAAGACGCCTTAAATGCTTTACAACTACGTAAAAATAAATAAAGTGCTGCTTTGTGCACCACTGTTCTCCCACATGCACATCTAACAGATGAAAACCAGGCCTGCTTGTGTGCATCACGCCTCCTGATGTAATCAAACCAGCACCGTAGGTTAATGGTCACAGAGTGGGTGTCATCCCCGCATACATCCGCCGTCTTTCATGCATACATGCATGTGTGCGCCGGCCACTACAGACTCCGACCGCCGAGTCAGATCGATTGTGTTCCACGTCAAATGCATTTGACCTGCTGGACCCGGGGGGGCAGGCGCACTGGGACGCACACTAAAGCACACAGTAATGCTGAGCCAGACAGGGAAAGAGAGAGGAAGGTAAACACATCTCCTCCCTTTTCCTTTTTTTGCCATTTCATTCTGTGCACACCCACTCTCCACTTCCACTCTCCCAGCGTCTGTCTTGCACAATATCTTCAACCTGTCTGCAGGTCACAGTTATGGCACCTCAAAGTCACTGTTCCTGCCAAGATGTCAAGAGGATGAAATGGCAACAAACACAGCAGCCATAGAACGAATATATATATAGTATATATATAAATGAAGATGAGAGGATCAGGAAGGATAACTGCAGAAAGATGCAGATCTGTGACATGGAAAATGCAAAGGAGATGTCAAAACACGGAGCCTTGTGTCGCTATAGATAGAGGAAATCTTTAGAAGGCTTTTAGGCGATCGATACGAGTTCACATACATCAAGATAGTGAGAGAAAGAGAAAAACAAACTATTTTGCATCATCCACCCTGAGCGATGCAGAGATCAGCTCCTCTACGCTGTCGTTCTATGACATGCAGCTCAACCTGAAGCCTGAACATCGTCGGAGCGTTCGACGTCGTGAACGCGCTGCTGAAGCCCAAACAGCTGCTGAAGGACGAGCCGACGAAACGCAGCAGAGACTGAATGTATAATGAAGAAAATAAAAGTGTTCTCTGGCCCGTATTTGTTTGTTTTTTTATGAAAACCTTTTTAGCTGAGGTCGTGCTTACTCTGCGGTTGTCTGATGCATGAAATCAGTGTTTACACAGAACGGGGCAGAGCGTGGTTTCTAAAGTTCTCTCTGTGGTTTTCTGCTCTTTGTGATATAACCTGACTGGACTTTTAGCTGCACAAGCAGGATGCTGGTGCTGGTCAACCGGTCCACCACTGTGCTCTGGTGTTTCTATACTGGGATAAGTATTTGTTGTACATTTGGTTCAGGCGTACCCAAAGCTGGCTTCGATAAACTCTGACTTTTCTTCTGAGGTTTAGATTTTCTGAGTCTCGCATCCAGATGTGGAACAGCTGCATCGGTCCACAGTGCAAAATGTAATATTTGCACCAAACAAAGGTTGTAAAATGTTGTTTTGAGGATATTCCTGACACCCCACCAGCCTGGAAAAACAACAGGCTTTGTGGTTTGTCTTTGCAGGTTGCTTTATTTTTTAACTCAAACCATAACCGAGTGGTTTTGGTGCTAACTGTGTTTTTATGGCATAAACAACGGCAAAGAGCCCAACCTGAACTGTGATACAAAACAGAAAGTGAAAGCAAGAAGTGACTAAAAAGTGTGTTTTCACTCAAACTATGATGTTTCCCTGAAGGTGACCGACAAGTTTTCGTATCTCAGTTTAACAGCACATCACCTCCAACCTTCTTCATGTCGACTTTATTGCTTTTACTTTATACACAAAGTGAAAGAAACTCACATTGTGAAAGGAATAAGGCCAAAAACATCTAAACATCTTACAGTTTCACCGTCTTTACTGTGAATCTACTACGTTCTCTCTGGACCGGTGCAGCTTTTACATATTTTGGTGTGAGACGGCTTTGGCAGAGTGAGACACTTTAAAAGCGACAACTTACTTGAAACCGATGAGTTTTGCAGCGACTGAGGACCTAATAATCCACAAGCTGTGAGAGAGCAGCCAATAAGGTAACGCACCTCGTTTTGACCCAATAATTAAACCAAACATGGTGCTGTGAGGAACATTTAGCTGTGTGGTTGAGTTATTGGGTCATGTGTGGTGAGACTGAACGGTCACGAGCTTCTCGGATTTCAAACTCAAACTAAAAACACTCTGAAACAACAACTAGTTTTATGCGTGAACGTCCCGGTTAGTGAGACCTCCACCCCTCTGACCTCCTAATATGAACTGTGGGTTGTTTTATGTGCAAAGCAAAAGAAGCACAAACGTCCACGGGCCCGGCTTAAAACAAAAGAAGAAGAAAAATGCATCTCCCAGTTTTACAGCATTTCTGGTCAAAGTGATGCATCGTGAACCAATGAGTGCTTCGCTGGTTCACACGGTAATGCTCTACACGGGATAAATCGTTATAAAGAATCCCATCTAGTGCTTCGTTTCATGACCAGATACCTGCAGACACGTCATCATTCACGTTAACACACTACAGACGGGTAACTTGACTCTTAGTTGATGCTCTTGTGGCTTTTCCTTCCACATTGTTCTTCTGATTCTCTTTGCTTTTATAAACATCACACTAATTAGCTGCACACAGCTACTGGATGAAGTCCCGTCTGTGTTCACATTCCTTGGTTTTCTCCTCAGACCGGCCCTCGTGGCGAGCTGCTCCCACATCTGTATTCAGACGCCGCTTCGTGCGATCAGATATTTTTTTACAGTCACGTGACCCAACTGTTGATGTCAGAGCGCCGGTTATCAAAGCTTTATGGGCTCAGGTCGTGACTCCTGCATCGCGTTCGGTGGAACATCTCCGTGTTACGCAGCCTTTGATACCGACACACCGGCTACGTTTTACAGCACATAAAGCAGCATCAATAATTTGGGGCAGTAAAGTCATGATCCGGTGAGTTTTATTTCCTGGGGTCTATATCACACCCATGTGTTTACTTAACACTGTTTTTTTTTTAAAGCATGATATATAACCGCGAGGGTGCAGAAAAAGATCTAAACCGAGGATAAATTAGCCATTAAAGCCAACAAATGCAATGATGAGTTATTTTTTTTTATGTCTTGTAAAGCCTAACACACTGTCGGGCTCCCTCTGGCAGCAAGAGGAATAATTTTTATTGTAGTGCAACTAATAGCCTTCCTGTTATGATGATGGTACGATGTGAGAGGGGGCAGCTTTTCTAACAAAGTTAATAAGCTGCCCAAAACTGGGACTTTTCAGTGGACTGCGGCGAACGCTTTGACCGGCGCCGGCAAATTGCAGATGGTCTGGGCGGCGTTTCCACACAGACGGATACAACAAGGTAGAGATGATGGCTCAGATAACACACCGACAGCCCGAGATGTCAAAACACCTCCAAAGTGATGATCTGGCAGGCTAAAATTGGGGTTCGCTTTACAACCTGCCAGCTCACCTTGCCCGCATCATCTGAAAGGTTCTGACAAAACAGAATCGACCTCGCAGGGGAGAAAACTTTAAAGTTCTGCTCAAAGACTCTCCCATTAGCAAATGCGATTTCATTATGTAGCCGCACTGATCAAAGCGAATGAAAATCAGAAAACTCATTACAGATAATACTGAGGTGTGAGCTTCAGCAGATTGCACTCAATCACGCCACAGCAAAAAAAAGAAAAGAAAAGAAGCTCTCATTCTCTGTAGAGACAAACACGCTGCTTTCCTCACCTGATGCTCTGTATCTCTAGTGTGTCCGGATCTGTGGCGTTGAGTGAAGCCACCACGCTGCCCACGGGGATGTTCTCCATCCTGGTGACGATCAGGGGGTCCGGGAAGAACACCGGGCCTTCGTTGATGTCCTCCACCGTGACCCTGACGGTGGCCGTGGAGCTGGGGCCGTAGCCCACGTCGGGGACCAGAGGATCCTCGTTCTCCACTTTGATGTATAGCGTGTGGAACATGGTGGCCTCGTAATCCAGGGGCTGAAAACAATCGGGAAAGGAAGGCGTATGTTACTGTGGTATCTAGTTATTTTATTTCCATCATTTACTTATGGAATCGCTCGGTTTGCTATGTGTGATCATTCGCTCATGTAATCTGTTGGACATCAGCTGCTCCTGTGATGTTGGACGTGTACGGGCTGTGGAGGTGTCTTGATCATGCACATGCATAAATGATGACGTGTGCATTAACAGCTCGCCGGTTCCGATACTCCGAAGACAGGAAATTACCCAAGAGGCAGGAATCGTATGTGCATAAGCAATTAAACCCCACGCAGAAGAAGAAGAAGAAGAACTCATAAAGGGCATTGTTTATGAGAGACCTGGCCTCATGACCGCTAATTGACCGATACAGGATCCAGAGATGTACATAAAGCTGGTGTTCTTCAGAGAATCGGGAGCTGCGAGAGCTGAGGGACTCAATCAGCCGAGTACAAGTGCATCCAATAAAATCTAAGAAGGAGAGCATTTGGTTTCTCTAACAGAACATATAACTGCACGGACAAGCCTCCTGTACGGGACTGTACCTTGACGACCGACAGCATTCCCTCGTTGTTGTCCGGGTTGGTTTGGATCTCGAAGCTCTGCATGGGATCTCCGCTGATGATGGAGTAGATGGCTCTCCAGGCCCCCGTGGCCGGATCGTCTCTGTCGTCTACCGTCAGGTTCACCACGACGCCCGTCGAGCCTTCGAACACGTGAGCCTCAAACTGTTAAAAAAAAAAAAAGGAGCAGACGGATGGACAAATTAACATTAGCGAGCGAGAAATCCAGAGACTTTAACAGAACAAATCAGACCTGACTCAGACAGAGAGGAAGACCTTCTACCAGGAGCTGATTTATGTAACTTCAGAGACTTCAAAGGCTGAAGTGGATTTGAGGACAGTGCTGCTGCATACTAAGGCAGGAACAGGAAGATGTAAGAAAAAAAAAAAAAAAAAGGACATGAACAGGCAGAAATTCGCTTTGGGTGGCAAAAAATTACAGCCGAGGCATCTGGCTGAGTCGAAATTATTTCAAACTTTTGTGGAAATTGTGCGCACATTCCATGTCTGCATGACTTATTTAATAAAAGAAGAAGGAGTGAATTATGGAGGAAAATCATTAAAAAAAAAGATTGTCGAGCAATATCTTTTACAGACGTGCTGTACATCAGGGATCTCCAGCTCCGGTCCTCATGAGACGTTTCCATACTGACTCAGATTAGTGGATCATTAACAGACTTGTGTAGAACTTGACAACAAGCTGCTGGAGATCCATTAATGTGAGTCAGGTGTGCTGCAGGTAAGTAGCTCACGAGGACCAGAGATGGACAAGTGGTAGCCACTCTGCTAAGCATCTGTACAGTTACATTGAGTGAAAACGGACAGAAGAAATCATCCAGTATGGAAATGTACGTTAACGAAGTGGAGAGAGAAGCAAAGACCTTGTGCACTCCGGCTGCTTCACACCGAACTTTAGTTTGTTTACGTGAAACACTGTTAGCACATTGATCATTAAGATCTTTGGGTTAAAAGGTGAAGCTTCTTGTTTTTCTGCTCTCGTTTTGATCTCTGTGAGTCTTTCTCTTCACACTTAGACGGGCGTAAAAATGCCAAGACCACTTTGACACTAAGGTGCAAAGAGGAGGAAACGAATTACTGAAAAACTTAGAGAGACACTCAGGAAAGGAAAAAAAAAAGCTAATCTAAGTTATGTAAAAACGCCACTTCTGCTGTCAAAACCAAGAAAAAAACATCTAGCTAAATGCTAATGCACAGGACCGTATACACATGAATACAAACGGCGCGCGCTGCAGAATAAACACTATTCATGTCCTCCATCGCTGATTCCTCACACTGCATCTCATTTGTTTTTCAGTGTCAATCACTCCCCACCTCGCTGCTCATCGCTGGCAGCAGACCTCAATCAGATTCTTATCGACGCATTCTGCCAGCCAGGCTTCCACTAAGGACTACATTGTGATCAGGGTTACTCCTCGCAGAAGCTACCGGCAGGCAGGCAGGCAGAGGCAATCCTGTCAGTGTGTGTGTGTGTGTGTGTGTGTGTGTGTCAGGACCATTATTGTGTCAGAGCTTACAGTGTAATCTTTCAGACACAGAACACTCTGTTTAAGGATAGCGCTGGTCCAGCCTAGATTACTGCGTCTCCTGTCAGCCCACGGTATTGTTGTTTCACAGATTACCCTCTTACTGCCTTACACTGCTCGGCTCCATGCATTTATCTGAAGAGAGACAAACATTGATTTCTTCTCTTTCCTTTCTTTTCTCCCTTTTTATTCATCCAGAGCTTGTTTAAAAACACTTTGAACCATTCGCAGTCATTTAGGGGCGCGCAGGATCGAAGCACAATGTTCTCAAAAGAACGCGCTGGATGTTTGTCCCCACATGTTCCTCGCTGGTCCTTTTTTTTTGTCCTGCGACGCCTGCGGCAGGCCGGCACAAAGGCGTCGTGCAGAAATTAGAAGGGTGTTGGAAACGTTAGAAAAGCCTCGTTTTTGAAAGAGATGCACTGGAATTCAAATTCGCCCTGAAGGGCTGAACGCCGTTTTACACGTCCTGCCTATTGCACGTCCTAAAAGACACAAGCAATCAGAAACAAATGGCATTCCCGTGGTCGTCCTCCTCCTCCTCCTCCTCTGGACTTCGAGCTGCAGATAAGACGCCCAAACGCTGGCCTATTCGCTCACACGCACACATACAGTACAGACGCACGGACAGCAGCCGGTTAGATTGGGTTTAATCATGTGGGGCAGTCATGCGGTCGGTGAAAACGTTGTATTCTGTGCGGTGCGGCCACCGGGCCCCTGCCCCGCCGCTGATAAGGCCCCCAATTCCACCCAGAGCACAAAGCAAGCAGTCACCTGAAAGACTAGAAGGAAAACACTAACTACGAGGCAGAGCACCTGGCACGAAATGACTTAAACACATTAAGGGCCAGACATGGCGAGGAGAGAGGGGGCGACATAAAGGCCTGCTTTCAAGTTCGCCTTTATCTGTGTGTGTGTGTGTGTGTGTGTGTGTGCGTGTGTGTAGGTGTGTGTGTGTCGGCGTGGTTTTGTGTGTGAGACTTCCAGCCCCAGACAGAGAGCCAATTACAGTAGCAGCTCTCAGAAAAAGATGACCACATGGCCAGAACACAAACACACTGTGGAGGCCGAGAGCTCGAACACACAACAAAACAAACACCTGCAGACAGACGGACGGACGGACGGACCGGGTCGATTGATCGACAGACGGACCAGGTAGACTGATCGACAGCCGGACGGACGGACAGTCAGCGTCGGCACCGACCATAAATCACAGAGCCCCACACTTCAGACGTTTAAGATTCCAAGGAGAAAAACCCACAGCGCGCCATTGATTTTCTGTTTCCCATCTCCTTTTATGTCTGACTTTTCGATAATCTGCCCCATAAATCTTCAAGGTAATGCCACGCTGCCAAAAGATAATTGGGTGATAGTCATTTGAGGCACAACAGCTTAAGAAGGAAAAATAAATAAACTGATAACGTCATGTTTGGGTGAACAGTGTTCGGGACTGTACTTATGAATGCGCTCTTCTGTAGCTGTGACTGTGATGCTGGTATATTTTTATTTGCCGTCTCACCTGCGGACGAGCATGACGACCTCTGAATTTCCCTTTTTGAAGCACAATTGTACGTTTTTGTCTTTCACGTTTTTGCATCACAGTCAAACTATTTTAAGCCTCTGTTGGTTTGCATCTATTAGCACTCGTCCATCACAGCAGATGTCTGCAGAACGTAATGCAAAACATAATCTGCTCCCAAACCACCAACAATGAATTACAGTTAACGTAGACTTCATACAGCGAGTGAGACTCATCATCCTAGTAGGTAGGAACCAACCAGAGCTTTGTGTTTAGCATTTGCTGGCATGTATTTTAACTTAAGCCAAGATCTTTTCATGAGCAAAGTAGTTTTGTTGCATTAACTTAAAGCGGTTGTGAAGCAGAAAGAGACCGATAAATAAATGCCACAAAGCAATCTCCAGGCCTGTAGGTAAAAAGCGTGTGGTTTATATCACCTCTAGTCTGACTGGCTGGATGCAGACTGTGGGTATGAGCCTGCCATCGGCCACACAGCTCACAAAAACATCCATTTCCTTCCCTCGTACTCTCCGTGCTCACATTCACCGTACTTTATCACATTTAAATTCCCAATAAGCTGTTCTTATTTCCACCTCCGTCAGCTCCCGTCGTCAAACTAAAACACGTGATTCATTAAGATCACACGTGAACCGGCAGCGAGCTCCAAGCTGAAATCCTTCATTTGACAAACTCACCAGATCTGTGAATTAAAAACAACGGCTGTGCTGTGAATCCGGCTATATTTAGATCGAATCTGAAGCTGCTGCCAAATTCAGAGAAAAACAATGAGTTGCTAATTAGTGGCTGTATTCTTGTTAAGCGGCGCTCTGGCTGCACATACAGAGCAAACTTTGTTTTTATTTTTATAGAAACTTTGATTCCTGTTGGAGCTACATTCCTGAATTAAACGACGTCTTTTTCAATTTATTTTGATTAAATCAACAACAACATAATTTTGCACTAATCCTTTGCTTACATCCTGCACTGAACACATTAATTATACATAAAGCTCGTTAAAATCAAACGAACTTAGATTATCAGTTTGCTTTGGTGTAAAATTATGAGTTAAATGAATAAATTGGTAAAACAGTTGGTAGATTAATTGACAGAAACAGTTGTTGGGTGTAAACATCACATTATCACACATTAAAACCACACATGTTGATGTTAGCATTTAGCTTAGCACACCATCCCCCATACATCAGAACATAATCCTTTACATGTAAAAGGTGGCAGCGATGGGTAAATTGGCTGTGGGAGAACAAAAGCAGTCCGTCCACCACTGATCAAGCGCTCGCCGCCGCCGCCCACTCGCTCGCCGTGCGGCGCTGAGTGGACGCTGTTCTACCTGTAAGTGGTTTTCTCTCAACTTCACTTTAAAGAGGACTCAAAACCCAAACATCTGCAAGCCGAAGCGGAACAGCTGGCCGGTTTATGAAAACGCAACGTAAATCCGCAAAAACCTTCATGTCGACACCGTCAACAACAATCGGCGCGCCTCCTCTCCGACAGACGGAGGTGCAGGGGAAGCCTCAACTCCTGGCAAAGAGGCGCAAGAACGAGAAGCGAAGCCTTGGAAGAGTTTACACATCTGTCAGCTTTACCGAGCGACGGTAAAACGCGCTCTGCCTCATTAACACAACTGTGGAAAGCAGCGGCTCCTTCTTCTTATACAGTCGTTTAATTTGTCTTTCATTGCCAGCTGGCGTCGTTCGCCTGCTGCAAACCAGTAACCTAGACCTTTATTTCCATCCCAGTCTGGTTGCTGCGCGCAGACACAGCCTTCATACCCAAGGACAGAAACAAAAGTAAATAAAAGATGTCTGTTTTGTCTGCTGTGTCAAACCTGTCAGGCTGACTACTCCATCTTGTTTGCCCCTTCCAGTTGCCCCCTTTACAAACAAATACTAGTAAACATATGCATGCAATCGCAGCCGAGTAAACACATGCACGCCATCATGCCCACACACACTCAAAGAGAAACGAATGGAGATCAACTTTTTTTTTTTTTATTCCTGGATGTCTGTCAGAACGCGTTATGAATACAGATGGCAGTTGTGGCTGCACTGACAGGCGACTCGACAGACAGCTGAGCAGCTGTT